CATATGAGCGCGGTATGTTTAAACTTCCTTGTACTCTGCAATTTTTTTTAATAATATTGCAGTGCCGTATAAATACAGGAAATACATAAATAATAAGCAACAATTTTGCCAGAATGGTAAATAAGGACAAGCTATCACTCTTTGAACTCTAGTTGCAGAGAACGCTCTCTATACATTCCATAGTGTATAGAATATCTGTTAAAATATTCCACAGCACTCTCCAACATCATGGGAAGTGCATCTGCACATGGGATTTAAGGTCAAAGCTGCAGATGTTTATATTAAACACAGAATGGGAAAGGTCTTTATTTTAGAATAATCCAATGCACACATTAGGCGGATTGGTGAGGAAACTGTATTGGAGATCAGTAAAATAACAGAAAACACCATCTGTCAAATCCATTTGTGGAAAATGTTATGCCCGTAACTGCAATAACCAAGCTGATAAAGATGAACTTCATCAAAAAAAAGAGAAATAGAACTAATGTATCTCCTATTTTATACACACAAAAATGTTTAGTAAAAGGAGTGCTGAAACCAATCTGCTAAAATGTAAGCATGTGCTGTAACAACCAAGGACATTTGTGATAATACAGCAAACTGGCAATTGTGACTAAATGAGGCCATAATACAGGCAGTCATAATAAAAGGTACAAAACTAATGGGCATGGAAGCAATACAAAGGCAATAAAATGCAGGGACAATAACTGAAGCCTAATCTGCCTCCCGCTGCCCCCTACCTCTGACCATTCTTCCTGTATAACTGTAGGAGTAACTCTGTGATCATTACGCCAGTCAGCCACACAATGGCTGCTCAGAGCTACTAAGTTATTGTATAGATTAGCCAGAGTTTCAAAGTCCGTCACAGAGAGTTCTCAGGTATGCATATTTCATATAACACCACTAGTAACAAGAATACTTACATCATTCACCATATCAGGTTTTATATCTATGTTGGTATTATAGTATGGTAGTTGGGGATATAAGCAGGGAACCTACGTACTTGCCTTTCCAGAGTCCAATGCATCTTTAAAGCTGAGCTCCAGGTATGTGTATTTATGTATACTTAAATTGGTCCAGCTTGGCCCAATGTAAGTATACATATTTTATACCTGGGTGGCTCACAGGGATTCTGTAAAACTCTGTAGTAGCCAGAGCCACTACAGTGCTTTACATTGATCTTCGAGGCAATGCTGTGGCTGCTGTGTGGACTTCCCTTCTGCTGTAAAAACACAGAGGGTCCCTTATTTGGCTTGGCGGCCATACAGTTTTATCAACCAATACCAGGCAATTTCTGATTGGTTGAGGGGTGATGACATCACGGCAGCGGCCCTTGTCCAGTCAGAGAACTCCTAGTTCCTAAATCTGTGAAAAAACAAACAGTAACTGCAGCAAATAAGCATCAATTACTGTCCAGGTATTCTGGCGGCCTTGGGCATCAGGTGTCAGCATACAATAGCCCAACAGGGGACATTCTCTAATCTATGTCATTTCAAGTGGGTGGGGGGATTGGGCGTTTTTCTTCTCTTTCCCTTTTCTCTCTTTGAATGAGAAAATAACTACAAGTGTATGAATAGCATGAGTCTGTCAGTTTGCTTAGAATCACTGAAAACAACTGTTGAAAAAGTCTGTTGACAGCTTGATAGTTATAGATTAGTCCTATATACAACTCAGTGTGCAAAAAAGAGTTTCTAATCCCCGCCCCTCCTTCTCCCTGCTTGATTCTCCAGCCCCATCTGGACAGAACAATCAGGTAGAGAGAGTCTAAAGGCAAACAGCTTGTCTTGCAGTCATATAAAAACTCAATTAGTTTATGACACCAGTGTCATAGGTACACCCTGTATTTTTTTGTAAAAAGAAATAGTAAAAGAAATCTAAAATAAACACAATATCAGTTTAAAAATGTACAAACCTAAATTAAAATAAAACAAATCCAAAACCAGTATAGTTTCCCATCAAGTTAGTCTATGCATAGCCTAGTTTTCAAGGCTATCTGGGACTCTGAAAGACTTCTACAGGCATTTCCTTCATGTATTTCCTATCGGTTTACTTTCTGTAAGTTAACCACAAGTAAAGATTATGATTACTTCTTTACATTTTACAATACATAAACAGGTCACTGTTAGCCCTACTAGCTAAATGGAATGGTCAGATTAGGCATCCCCTTAAATTAACCTTGCATGGGTAACAAGGGACAACATAATTATCTTTACCAGCAGGGGAAATTGTTCCAGGACACAAAGTCTCTTAATTCTTTACTGTGATGTCTAACCACATCAGACACAATAGAGTGCAGACCTATCAACAGGTAATTATTTTATTCATGAATCCACGGGCAATATACAACGTCACTCAAAGCAGTAATCAGCCCCAAATCTACACTGGGAGAATGTAAAGAGCCGCAATTGTGTGTTGTAATTCATTAAGGGTTTTATAAAAGGTCCATGAAACCATTTATCTTTCCATTTCTGGAATGTTTTAGAGATGACAGGAGAGTAATGACTAATCATAAAATTGTGACACCTAATTCTGGGCTGAGCAAATATAAAACAGATTAATTACAACTGTTCCATCTATCGGCACTGAACTGATAAAACATTTAGAAAAGTCACTCTATTAAACATATTGCAAATGTATTATTTACAGACGCTCAAAGATTTTCCATGTAAAAGGTATTTTTCTTCAGCCTCGGACAAAACGGAATATTAACCAATTTTTGCTTCATGTTCTAGTTATCACTTTTTTTTCCCCCAACATTAGATATTATGAAAGATTCTTTAACCAACAATTGTAAAAACACCAGAAAAGAAGCTCCAAGAGAAGAAAAGATATGAAAGGGTACAGCTTGTGGCCTACTGAACCTATAACACCAGCTGGTTTGTAATAAAGAGTAACTGATGAGCCACTGAGAGCAACAAGGGAACACACAATGAACTGCTACAGCTGGTAATGCCAATGATTGTTGCAACTGTAATGTCAGAAAGTCCGTCTGGGTTACAGAATACTTCCTCTTGAGCTCAACAACGAGCAGAAAAAAAGAAAATGCATTCTTAAAAAAGAAAATGTATTTAGCATAAAACTGGCAAGTGTACCTAAATGTGTTTCAATACAGGCCCCCCATTTTCTCCTGCATAGCAGTGCTCAGAGATTTGGAGAGGGAGGGCAGCTCTCTGACCCAATCAGGGCTCTATTGGCTTTGGGTTATATGCAAGCAGCTGGAGAGAACCCTCATCTGTGTGCTGCTGCTGATGCTATTTAATGGTCTATTTACAAGCAGAGGCGAGTTCTGGACCAGGCTGTATTGCTAAACGCCAGTGTAGTCTGCAGGAAGGACCAGGACCTGACTGTACTTTCTGGCAGCCAGGATCACAAGACTGGATGCACGGAAGAGGTTTGCCAGGAAGTCAGGTTACATGTCTGTTTCAGCTGTGTATTATACTGTCTACATGGAGTTCCGCTTTAAATAAGTAATTGTGAAGTGATTCAGCTGGTTGTCGCAATGCTTCTGGATGGGCTGCAGTTTTAAGTTACATGATTCATACTCCCCTTTCATACTCCAGTGTAAGTAGGTAAACCTATCTATCACTCTACTCCTCATCTCACCTTCTCACTCTCATCACTAGTTTACTAACTGACCTATCATTGTGGATATTGCATTACTTTCTTAAACTCAAACATTTAAAAGCTAAGCTCATAATATTTCCTTCCCCCAGTGTCCCCTCCCCTGGCTTCTCCATTGAGATCAATAACACAATCATCAGTCCCTGCACACAAGCTAGGGTGCTAGGTATAATCCTGGACTCTGACTTCTCCTGCAGGCCCCACATCCAATCACTGTCCAAATCTTGCCATCTGTCTCTCCATGTTGTAAAGTACTGCACAAACTGTTGGCGCTATATAAATCCTTTACTATAATAAGAATAAAACTGCACTGTGCTTAGAGACAGGGTGATTAAGACTCCTGCCAGGCTTTTAATATTTGTTTCTGTTGGGGAGATTCACCTTGTCTATTTGTCTTGCTGACAACTTTCATTAGAACAGGAGGTGAGAGGGAAATCTTACAATGGGAACACCTGTTTCGGTAAAAACTATTTCTCCATGATTTGGGGAGATTTCCTTTCACATCTTGCTTTGTCTCTGGGACAGGAAGACTATTTCTAATGAGGCAAAAAAGTAATTAAAAAGCATAGGCCTTCAAGTAATCCTGAAACAAAGGATTGTTCAGGTAGCTTAAGAACCAAGTTGGGCAACGTGTATACAGTACATTGTGAAGGAACAGGAGCTCTCCTGCGAACTGACCAGCAATGCTAAATGCCTTGGAACCTTCCATCTCATATGGCTTTCTTGCTAGTAAAAACAAAAGAGCCACTTGCCAATTCCCTTCTTTGCTATGTTTAATAGCACACAACAGGTCTACAGCTACTTTGGTCAAGCTTGACCAAGCCTGTGGCTTTAAAGGAAAATGGCAGGTCTGGTACATTAAATTACAAGAACAAATCTGCAGTTGCAGCTGCCATATTTATATCCTGACAGGTAAGGTAAGCTCAGGTACGTTTGTTTGCACTCTGTTCAGTGTTATGTTAGTAGTGTTGGTACTTTAACGGTGTAGGCCAGCACTGTTTAGAGGTACCTTGACGTAAGGGTATGGTTTCCATTTATAGCTGCATATGCATTAACTCTAATCCTATTAAAATATTAAAAGTAGGCTTTAATTTGGTACTTTTCACTATCTGGCAGGAATTAGTGCTCAGAAAATTATTTACATAATGCAAGCCACGTAAATTTGCCTGATAAGTACCGACACACACACTAAATGGAAGTAGCAAGCAATAGGGTAGTAATCATTTAATAATGACGAATACTTCACATTTGTTTACAGAGGATTAGGATGTACATCCAAAGCACCATGCAGGGTACAAAGAGGATGGCAGAACATTTTGTACCGGAACACTGCCACAATTTCAGAATAGATTCTAATGACAGCAATTAACTGTACTCACTCATTTCTTTCCAGATTTAACAGCAGTTCCTCCTCTTTAGATCTTAGTAAAAGTCTTAGTCTTGATGGATGACCCTTAAAAAGGAGAAATGATAATTAGTTAATGAGATAAAAGCATTGTATGTGACATTACATCATTGGTCGTGGTTCACTGCATTTAAAAAGATACATTTGCAAAGAGCTACTCTAGTGGAAAGTTCTTAAAGCGGGCCTTTACCCATAGCTTTAAAATAACAACAAACATACCTTTAGAAATGTTTAGTAAAGACAATCTACAAACACATATTTCTAGATAATTGCAGGCCTTGTATTCTTTGAATACCTTATTTCTCTTTTCTTCCCCAGTCTTCTCACAGTGGTCATGTTAACTAAGGGCAAATGACAAGATCTCCAATTACTTCCTGGATTTCTGGCACATGTGACTAGGACGTGTGACCATTCACATAATCTCAGGGAAGGAAAATGCCTTTCACTGAGATCTCATGAGATTATAGATGAGATTCCCCAGCAATGTTCTGCTGATCACAAGGCAATCCCAGTGTGCATTGCTTTGCCAAACTGAAGTAATTTTGCCCTTTCTAAGCGGGAAGTGAATGCTCTGCAAGTGTAAGTATATCAAAATCACAGTATTTTACACCTGACATGTCTATGCTATTATTAATCATCATACATAAGAGGGATACATTGGTAGAATTTGATTTTTGAGTGTAAAGGTCCGCTCTAAAGATTCATGTAATTTTAGGAAAATCGGAATCAATAAGCAACATTTGTATCAATCACAGTCTCAACAATATGTTAACCTCAAAAACAGTCATAAAAGTTTCCAAGTTTTGGGGATGATTTCTAAAATCGCAGTAAATGAAAACACCAAAGTATTGTTTAAAGCAGTGTTTGTATAGGTCGGAACGCAAACTGGGTAGGGGATGTGTTTGTGATTAAATAAATGTGTACTACATATAGCAATGTAGTAACGTCGTATACTACTGTGAACCAAGATGTAACCTACAAAAGGATGTGGTTAGTGTATTGCAGAATTAATTTTTTTTTCCCATGGGATGAAAGCAAATAATCCCACCCAACAACACTACCACTTCTTCCTAAACCTGTGAAATTAATCTACTAATATGACTGACAGCACACACATGAGGAACTAAAACAAGGCAGGGGAAGGGGGTCAAGGAAATTACCCAGGCAAAGTTGTGAGTTGAAGAGACCTAAATGCTACTTGAAAATGTCAAAGAAAATATAATGGATGTATTGCTCTCCGCTTTATTAAAGCTCAAGAAATAGTGAAGAATGCATGCAATCTGTTGTATTTTTGCAAGCCATTACTAGGTTTTGCTTCTCTTCTTGGGCCCCAGTTTTTAGGTGCTTGGATTAAAATGTTAACATTTTTTATTGTGACCAATCAGATATAAGGTCAGTTCTCTAAAACTAGAATAATGGGAGCTGTAAACTGGTCCTACAGCCAAAAAAAGCCACTTGACCAGTGACTTGAAGTGTAATAAAAAATGGCTTGTTTAAAAAGAAAATAACTAAAAAAAATAAATAGAGACTTATATGTCAAAAGGTCTAAACATCAGGATTATGCTACTTTGACAACCAATCAGTTTCTCCCTTCCAGGTCTACACAATAACTTAGAATCTGAAATCAAAAAGCAGATTGCTTGGTAGCAAGAAGATTAAACTTTTTTCCCTTGATATAATGATAATATTATAAGTTTTAGACCCCAATAATGGGTCTTTTTTTATTTGTAGTACCTGTGATGAACGAGAGAGGTAGGGTATTACTACACATTATCATGTACTTTATTAATTCAGCCAAATTAAAAATGAATCAGTGTTCATTGTGAGATATAGATGTGGGGCTGATCGGTATTCAAAGAGATGAAAAGGGTTTGTTTATCAGGATAATTACAAGGCTCCATTGAAGTTAATGTTCTAGCAATCCATAAAGCAGCACTTGGCACAGAATGAGCATAGACCATAAAATACATATTTAAAAAAGAAATAAATATCAAATCTGTCTGCATAAATATCAGCAATAATTAGCATCTTTTCATAGCAGTAAACACATTTATTCAGAACTTAAAAAAATAACACTGCTGTGAAAAAAAAAAAAGGTCAAGCAACTGGATTATTGAAAGTACTACACTGCATGGTACTCTTTCATAGAATCAGGTCACAAGTCAAGAGTTATCTTAGTCTGCTGGCAACTGAGTGTACTATGGTGTATGGTAACGTTCCAACATTTCTGAGGTGTTAAAGGGGTTCTAAACCCTCCGTTTTTTTTTGCCTATATCTACTGCTAGCAAGCAGTAGATATAGGCAAGAAGTTAAAAAAAAAACAAAAGCGCTTGAACTGGTTTTAAACGTACCTCGTTATCGCTGCTCGCTCCCGCGCCGAGAATCAGGAACTGCTCGTACGGCCGCAAAGGATCTTGGGGCGGGCGCATGCGCAGTTCCGATTCTCGGCCGGGAGACGAGCAAAGACACAAGGTAAGTCTATGGACGCGTGCACCCGCCTGCAGACACCGCTTGATCGGAGAGACAGAGCAGTCATCACTGGATCGGAGTGACGCCGCACCGCTGGAGGGACACATGAAAACATGGGGAAAGAAGAGGAAGATCAGAATAAGATACATCATTTGCAACATTTGCATGGGGGGGAGGGGGAAAATTTGGCTTTAATGTCACTTTAAGCATGGAGTCTTGTGAGAACTTCTTTCTTCACACACGTTAACACTGAAGTTCACAAACATTTCAGTACAGGATTAAGAAAGTTCTGTCCTACAATTGACACTCAGGAGAAGTCAGCATTTTGCATGACTTGGTACCAAATGCTTCCTTTGGCATCTTCTGTGAGTAAAGCCTATATTGTATGCTTCCAGGTTTTTGTTTTCTCTTACAAGTCTATTAAAGTCTATTCAAAAGCTGCTTGAAGTAGGTCAGAAGGTGGTCAACTACAGGTCAAATGCACCCGTAAATTCTAAATGATCTCAGAAGCATCTCAGATAGAGGTCAGACTGATGCTATCAACACAAGCTCAAAACCGGTTGACACAGGCTTTTAATTAGGTCAGTGCTTCTGACACTTCGGTCAGGCATGTATGATAGGGTTGCCACTTTTCTTCAAGCGAAACCCGAACACTTTAGCGACGCGCAGACATTTTTTGGGGGAGAATGAGTTATGGCTGATTCATGTAAATAGAGTCACCCATTCTTATGTAAATATCACAGTTGAGACTATTTTCAGTGGGAGGCGAGTAGCCCCATCTTAATTTTGGTTGCCCGTCTGCCTGACATCTTGTGACCGGGTTTCTGCTGCCATGAAACCCGAACACAGCATTTAAAACCCAGACTGTCGGGGTGAATCCTGGACAGGTGGCAACCCTAATGTATGAATATCACATTCTTAAAGTAGTACCACCCAGTTTATCCAACTGCGCCACCCAGCTCGACTGTGTCTAGGTCCCACGTACACACCACCCACTTCTTCTAAATTAAAGAACGCTGCCACCAAACCAAACCTAGTTACACATTCTGTGGATCATCAACCTCATTTACACTTCACTGCATTCGAGTTATCTCTCAATGCAACCTGTTTAACATTTGCAACTCAATCACCGCGCCACCTCGACTGGAAGATTACGTCATGAGTCCACTACCCCCAATCACACTAAATAACTAATTTACAATAAATCACGGAAATATGTACACCGAGCCTGCCAATAGGGGTTTAGTATCTGTACCCAGAAGAAGCCAGGCCCAGTGCATGCACAAACCTAGGCAATAGGTGCTGGAGAGGATTATAGGCAGCCAGCAGTAAACAAGTCAGCAAAAGCAGAAGTGGAGCAAGGCTGGAAACAGGATGATCCTCATTGTGCTAAAAGCAGCTGTAGCAGCGGGAAAAGATTTCCTTGAGCTGAAGGGCAGGAAAAGAACAAGGAGTAATGCATGCAACACCATCCCTAGCAGATGTTCACCAAGTTATCACAGGCTGAACAGTTTTCTCAGTACAAAGGGCATTCATTTTCAAGAGAAATATAGTGCCCAGTGGTTATAATTGTGACCCAGTTCTCTTGCTGCAGCCCCACCGGCCTTAACCAATAAATGTAATAAGGAGAGATTGGGTCACAAGAAAAGGCTGTGTCATAGCTCTAAAATTAAAAAGAAAACACTTCTCAAGATATTCATACAGTGCACAAGTAGCAGATAAGGGTTACATATCAAGATATGCTAATCACAAACAGGCTTGTTTACAGAGAGAGAGCCTACAGAGACAAGGTCATGCAAAGGAGAGACTTTGGTGTCACGCACGTGCCTACCACTTTGCGAATGCATAGCAAAGCTGATTATAGACTCAAATACAGAATACTGTAAAAAAAGAAACATACACGTGCTGAAATCAATAAATTGTAAGTTAGAATGCAATTTTTACTGGCTTGCATAACTCTACACTTGTTTTAATCCCTTTCCACTCTATCAAACACAAAAAAAAAAGTTTTGGCTTCAGTGTCACTTTAAGGACTATAGATGCATGGAGTGCTATCACCAATACAGAATATCTCAATTTTGCTCACGAAGCTGCTTATGAAAATTTGCTTAGAAAGAACAAAAAAAAAAACAAGAAACAAAGAAACGATCTGGATCACCCAAAAATAGCACATTGTAATTTCCTGCCACCGATCCAAAATGTAAGAACAGTTTTGTTTTTACTTTCAAACAGTGCATTCCAAAATAAAAAGAATAGACGCGGGTATATGGCTGTTCATTTTCTGTAATTATTGCTATATTGTGTGTTTTGCCTGGAGTCCTCGATTAACTCTTTCGGTACTCCTGGTTCCTGGAATGCAGCTAAGATCAAACCCATACTGACTTGGGCCACTTCCCAGACAGTAGATGTCTAGTGCTCTGCAGAAAAACCATAAATCACTTTTATTACACACAAATGGACACAAAGCTAGTGAAGTGGTCACTTCTCATTTAGCCTTTGCACGCCTCTTAAGAAGAAATATAGCACCTGTTCCCACCATAAGAAATTATCTGCTGTTTAATTAGACACAAAATTGCTAT